GGTCAGCCCCAGGCGGGGGGGTGGTCTGCGCGGGGGTAGAGTGATTCCAGCCTCTGGAGTTCAACCCAGGCCTGGGTCCAAAAAGGGGAGAAAGGGCCCCTCCTGGCAACTGGACACCTCTCCTGAGTTGCCCACCGCCTGCTCTGTCACAGGTTCCTCCAGGCCCTACCTCTGTAATGGCACCTACTGGGGAGCCAAGGGACTTTGCTTTCTATGCAAAGTGGTCATGTGGAGCGGGGGAGGGGATAAAGCCCCACTGGGAGCAGAGCCCTGAGATCTGCTCCTCACTGTGTAGCACCTGCCGCATCTCAGTTGCCACATCTGCAGCGTGGGGTTACAGTGCTCCCTGGAGCTGCTTTCCCGCACCCCAACCCCAATGGTTCTGGGTGAGCTGCACCCTGAGCACTGACCAGATGTCAGGCAGGAAACCTGAGCAGCAGGCTCTTCTTTGCAGCTTGGGGCCCAGCTCTCTGGCCGCCTTGGGGCAGTGAAACCGGGTCACAGACACCCCTTGGGCAGTTCCCTCCTCCCCCCATCCAGTTACTCCCTGAGGCACGGCTCTTCCACCTCCCACGCAGCCCCCCATTCAGCCACCTTCTTTTCCAGAGGTAACTCCCCCTGGCCCCCAATTAGCTTGTGCTCTTCAGAGAGGGGGACTGAAGCCCTTGTCCCTCAGACAGCACCCCCAGGGTGATTAGTGTTTGCCTGTTTGTTACTTTATTGTCTATTTTATTTTCTCAACCATTTAAAACTTACAATCTATTTTAATTACTTTTCATTTTTTATTTTACCTGTGACATGTGATCATTGTAGAAAAGTTAGAAAATAAAGCCAGTCAAGAAAAAGCAAAAAATTACCTGTAATCCTACCACCTAGAAATAATAGGCATTCATCTTGCAGTATAACCTTTGGGTATATATCGTGCCAGTATTTTCCCTTTGAGTGTGTTTATTGAAAATTTAGATCATATTGTTCTGTAATTGGGTTTAAATTGCTTTTTCTTAGGCAGCTTGTAAAAATAGATAAGATTAAATAAATGGTCTCATCGCCTCCTCAGTTTATTTAGTTGGATATTTCAGTTTTCAGTGTTTCAGTGTTACAGTCAGCACTGCACATCCTCGTGACACGATGACACAGAACTCATACCTCTGGGATCATTTCCTTAGAATACATTTCTTACAGAGATTTCTGGATAAAAAGTGTGGACATTTTTAAGGCTTTTCATTTTTATTGCTAAATTGCCCTCCAGGGGTGTTGAGCTGTGTATGAGTCCCCAGCTCCCTACTTTCTCAGTCACACTGGCTGTTATGTCTCTCTTGTCTTCTGTCCCCAAATCAGTTACTGAATTTCTCAAGTCTCAAACTCAGCTGCCCTCAGTGGCCAGCATGCACTACAGCTCAGTGAGGCCACCCAGCCTGGTGGGGGCGCCTCGGGACTGGAATCTGCAGAAGTCCCTGCGCCTGAGCCCCAGCTGCCTGTGTCCTTGGGGAAATCCAGGTTTTCCTTGTAAAATCGTTTAATTTGTAAGTGTCAGCAACTACATTTTAAATCATTATTTTAATTATTTTACATGAAAGCTAGACATGACTGTGGACCACCAACCAGTCTGCGACTTACAGAAGAATCCATCTTTTCCCCAACGACTTCAGATGCTGCTTGTCATGGATGAATTCTCTTTTAGGTCTGGGTCTGCCTCTTTTACACCAGTGTCTGTTCCGTATGGTATTACTTAATAGCTTTAAACTATGTTTTGACATCTGATGGGGCAAACGTCTCCCCAGTTACTTTTTTTCAGGATTTTTACCCCATTCTCCTATATTTATTCTTCCAAATAGACTTCTGAATCTGGTTGGCAAGTTCTCAAATCTTTTGCAGATTTCAATTAAGGCTATTCATTTTACAGGAAAATGAAGAGAAGATTATCATCATTATAGTAATAAGCCTTTCCAATCAGGAAAGTCATCTCCCTCCCTAAATATTTTCCATCCTTTGGTAAAGTTTCATAGTTCTCTCTGTACACATTTCATGTTTTTTATTTATACTTCGTTGTTCTGGAGGTTTTGAGGGGAAGGGCTGTGTGATGAACTAGATTTAATTGTATATATTTTTGAATTGACAAATGCTGTATTGTGTAGAAGAGCTCTGTGCTCTTTCTCATTCATATAGTTTTAAAATTGATCATTTTTGGTTTTCTAGCAAATAAAAACTTTCCTCCTCCTCCTTTCCAATATTTAAATACACTGTTTTATTTTCCTGACTAATTACATGGACTGGCACTGACATTGGGGAGGAAATATTATTTAATGATGGTGACAGTAGGATTTTGGGGGAATGTCTGTAGTATTTTTATCATTTAAGTGTAATGTTGAGTGTTGATTCGAGGAAGAGAGTATCCTTTTGTTACTGTTTTACTAAGGATTTTAAGTTTTTATTTTTTTTTAAAGAATTTTAAGTTTTTAATTGACAAAAATTAATATATACTTTTAAAATACTTTTTATTAATAAATACTCTAAAACATCAAACAATTCAGAGGTAGGTAAAGCAATAAGTGAAAATTGGCCTCCCTTTTATCACCCCAGTCCTGTCTCACAGGGACCATCAGTGTAAACATGTGGTGTATACTTTTCAGATATTTTTCTCTGTCCATATAAGTACCTAGTCATAAATGGAGCTATCAAGTTGATCCAAAGATTTTTTTCTGACTATTAATGTGATTTATAGTCATCGATTTCCAAACATTGATCCATCCTTGAATTCCTGGAATAAATCCTGATTGATCCCAACGTGTTACTCTTTCAAATACTATTGGACCTGATTTACTGATGTTATTTTATAAGATTTTTGCGTCTGTCTGTGGAAGTACCTCTGGTCCATTTTGGATGCCACCTACTAGGTTCTGGGAGGCTGTTATTAACTTCCTAAAATAAACTGGGAGGCTTCGACTTTTTTGCCCCTGCCCTGGAACGGTTCAGGTAGCATAGGCATTATTTCTGCTCCTGGAACACATGATAGGACTAATATGTCAATCTTGAATTCAGTAGTGCCCTTTATTGGGAGAAGAGGGTGACAGGAATTCAGTTCTTTGACCGTTTTTGGAGTTTCTGCCACACTGATTCATCTTTCCAAATCTCCTTGAGTTTTCCTTAAAAAAAAATTCAGTATCACTTTAGTCATAGAGTCAGAACAGATCTGTGTCCCAGGGCAAGAGCTGGCCTTCCCACCTCTGAAGACACCTCCCCAACTCCACCTGCACCCACGGGCCTTCTCCCAAATCCCCCCTTCCAGTGAGCCCCTGGCCCTGCAGATAGCACGCTAATAACGCCCAGTTGAGGGCCAGGTGGTTTACTAGCATCATCCTTTTTAATACTCACGTATGAGGAGGGTGGGACAGTCCTCATTCTACTGATAGGGAAATTTATTCTCCTTGCCCAAGGCCACGCAGCTAGTGAGAGGTGTAGACAGGGCTCTAACCTCAGTCTGACTTCAAGCTCCTCCTGCAGCCACCCCACATAATTTTGGAAGTGTAAGCCAGCCCCTAGAAACATCCCAACATCACATCCCCATATGTCAAGGTCAAGTGGGAAATGTAACCATCGCAGATATGATGGACCTGTCAAAAACACATGAAGCCAGATGCACAAATGGTGACACATAGTCCTGGTTCCATGTTTGGGGACAGAAATAAGAAAGGCAAATTTTTCCTCAGGGCCAAAAGTGAGATCAAACAAAGCCCTCGAATGCCCCCTTGTGGAGAGTCCCGGCGTGATCCCGTCACCCTGGTACCTCCTGACCCCCTTCCAACCAAAGGACAGGGTTTGGGTTTTCTCCTTCCAGCTCTGTTTCCAAGCCTTGGAGCTTCCTTGTGGTTTCAGGCCCTTTTACAGGAACACGTGACTGGCCAAGTGCGCTCGTGGCATTTGCTCGGCGTTCGCCCTGCCTGTGCTCTGAACCAGGTGCTGGTGTGCTGGCCTGGGTGGCCTGACTTGCAAGAGGGGGCCGAGGTTGGAATCCAGAGGGCTGGCTCTGGGAGCTGGGAAGGCCCTTAAGCCCTGAGCTTCAGTTTCCTCACCTGAAAAACAGGGGACTAATAGCTACCTCTTGGGGTGGTTTGGGGATTAAATTGAGTATGGTAATCCACACAGGATTAACCCAGAGCCTGGCGCAGTGTGAGCACACGCCAAACGGTGGTGGCAGATGTTACCTGTGTGAGCCGGGCAAGCAGTCACATGCTCTGCTGGGCAGCTGGGCTGGTGTTCCAGGGCCTCCTGAGCAAGGCGGGGGGGTGGGAGGGAGCTGGGGACCTGACCCATCAGCAAGGAGGGCCAGGCCCAGGGCAGCGGGCTGCGTCTGCACTGCTCCCATCTGGAGAGAGGTTATGGATGGCCCATTCTCAGGGGCTTCCCAGGACGTGGGGGCCTCTGGAAGCTCTTCCAGAGACCGAACCCTCAGGCCTACTTTAGGGGCAGGGGCAGCACACTGAGCTAGGGCTTCAACAATGTCAGCAGTGGGGAATGGCCCAAGCGGCACGGGGAAGAGTGGTTAAGAGTTTCTTCCCTAGGTTCCCAGTGCTAGCTTCCAGCCACGATCCCCGATACTTCCTAGTTGTGCGGTGGTAGGCAAATCAGTCTTAACCTCTTCAGGCCTCAGTTTGCTGAGCTGTGAAGTGGGATCGCAGTGCATCTGTCTGCATAGACCTGAGGAGGAGAATTAAAGAGGTGACATGCCTGGCACATAGAAGACTGTTATGAGAGCCCAAGGAACGACAAATAAGATCTGATTGCAGGCCTTGGAGGGGGAGGGGCAGTGGCAGTGGTGGTGGGAAGGACCAGGACACAATCTGGTTATCAGCACTGGAGCCTGGGCAGAACCTGCCTCCCTTACATCCCACCATGGCCTGTGGGCAGAGCAGGTGGGCTCCCCAGGCCCCTGGCCAAAGTGGGTCTACAGTATGGGAGGTGGAGCAGGCAGGGCGATTCTGGGCCCCTAGGGGCCTGGGGGTTGTACCCCCCATCACTTTTTCCTCTGTTTCCCTCGCAGGCTCCATGCACGGTTCTATGAGCTGGCCCCCAACCTGGTCCCGATGGACTACAGGAAGAGCCCCATCGTCCACGTGCCCATGAGCCTCATCATCCAAATGCCGGAGCTCCGGGTACGTGAGAGGCCGCTGCAGCCGGGCAGAGCAGGGGATGGGCAGAGCAGGGGAAGCAGCTGGAGAAGGCTGGGCAGGTGGGCTGGGGCCTTGGGGAGTCCGCTCCTCTGGATGGGCAGGACCGCAGAGGAACCAGACCTGAGTTGAACCCCAGCTCCACCCTTTGTGGCTGTGTTGCCCTGAGCAGATTGCTGAACCTCTCTGTGCCTCAGTTTCCTCATCTGCAGCCTATGAATAAATGAGCTGAGTGCATGGGACTCCGTTAGGGTGCTGTGGTGGGTGCTTCCCCACCGTCTGTGGGGCTGTCGGCCTGTACTCACCTGCTCGCCCCTTTGTGAAGCAGCCAGACTGCTGTCCTTGGCAGACCTTGTTTGTGTCTGCTTTGTAAGATGATTTTTCACTCTCCTCCTCGTCTGGCTGTGGCCTCTGACGGTACAGTCATCCATAGCATCACCTCACACTTTAACGGCACAGGAATCACCTGGGGATCTTGCCAACATGACAGTCAGTTTCAGTAGGTCTGGGGCGGGGCCCAAAGCCTGTTTTTCTAACAAGCTCCCAGGTGAGGCTGATGCTGCTGGTCCTCAGACCACACGTGTGTATGACATGAACGGCCCACTTCAGAGCTCCTTACCTACCATACACGTCAAGTGCGCGCCAACAGTAAGAAAGCACTTGGGCATTTGGGGCGCAGCTCCACATTGCTGTGGGACTTTGCAGACAGTCCCTCGCCAGGCCTCCAACATGGGACTCTGGGGTCAGGGTATCCTCTTGGGATCCCCGTGGCCTCCACTTGGGGCCTGAGTCCCGGCGGCGACCTCAGTCCTGAGGGAACCTGCACCCTGGTGACTGCTGGGGTTTTCTTCAGGAGAACCCCTTCAAGGAAAGGATCGTGGAGGCTTTTTCTGAGGATGGGGAGGGGAACCTCACCTTCAACGACTTTGTGGACATGTTTTCCGTGCTCTGCGAGTCAGCTCCCCGCGAGCTCAAGGCAAACTACGCCTTCAAGATCTACGGTAACGAGGGCCTGGAGGAGGGGCGGGGAGCTGCGGGCGGTGGCGGTCCACAGCCCACCTCGTCACTGCTGGGGACACCGGGAACACCCAGAAGGGTGCCTGTCCAGCGCGGTGGCCAGTGTGGACAAACAGTACATGAGAGACATCTGCAGGGTCCTGAGAGTGGAGGGTGGGTGGTTAATGTGAGAATTCACACATGGTGACATTCCAGCAGGGCCTGGGTGTCACAAGAGATTGTTGACAGGAGAATGGGGGCAGGCGCACCTGTGAAGACCTCAGGGAGGCACGAAGTGTGGGGCTTGGTGAGAAGGTGGGGAGAGGAAGGTGGTGGGATGAGGGTGGCATGAGTCCAGAGAGGTCACAGGGGCTGGGCTGTGAGGAGCCAGCCAAGGAATTTGGGGTCCACTGCGAGGTGGTGAGGCTGGGTTGGGAGGGAGACTCCCAGACCCCAACCCCTCCCCATGCTGCCAGAGGTCAGGTGGCCTCATTTCACCCCAAGCCCAGGGCCCGCAGTCTCACTGGCCACCAGGGGGCGCCAAGCACCCGCGAAGCCCTTGGTTTCCGCTACAGCAACAGGAGAGACCATCACACAGGAGAGCTCATATGCTGAGCCCACCGTGAGACTGGCAGCCGACAGGGACTGTGTCAGACCCTTGGACAGTGCTCAGATGGGAACCCTGAGGCCCAGGGAGGGTCTGGAACTTGTCCTGGACCAGAGGAGCTATGGACAAACCTGTCCCCAGCATCTGTGATCAACCAGGGGATCCAAAGACAACAGGGCCTATTGGGCTATTTTTTCACCTTGTAGTTGTCATGTTTATTTCAGGGACTTTGGTCTACATGCAGCTGTGCACCACATTGTGTTTGCACACCAGAAACACAGTACCTACCTTGTCTACCCTCCACAAACTGTGCCCTCAAGTTTCAAGTAAAAAGCTTCTTGAATTCCACCCATCTAATCTTGGACCCCATGGCACTGGTTCTGGGAAGGGCTGTAGTCTGCCGGAGAGGGGAGTGCAGACCACACAGCTGGGCAGGCCTGGGGACAGGTGAAGGGAGAAGTGGGGCTCCCCTGCTACCCTGGTTGAGGGTGGAATGGAGAAAGGCACCTGGGACCTGGGGTTTGGTGCTGGGGGTACTGGGGCCTGACCTCTGAGCAGGAATCACCTGTTTCCTGGACCTCAGTTTCCTCTTATAAATTGGGCACAGGAGTCATCTTGCCAACCCAACAGGAATGGAGCTGGCCAGCTAGTCAGCCAGCAGTTCTCTCTAGAGAGCATACTGGGTGCCATTGGGAGGGCAGAGATGAATCCCACCTGGCATTTGCCCGGGGACCTTCACAGGCCAGTGTGAGGATGGGCCCTACGGTGCCAGTCAAGAGCTTGGGCTCTGGGGTCCGACAATGATCAGGGATGTGACCTCAGGGCACTTGTTCTTTCCAAGCCTCTGTTTCTTCATCTGTATAGTGGGGATTCTGACTGTACCTACCCAACCGGCATGCGTTGAAAATTGAGATGGAGCCTGCAACGCTCACGTTGGCAGTTATGCTCTTCATCACTGCCGTTAATGCCAGGGTTTGACCAGTGGGCAGGGGGAGCCCTTATGTCTAGGAAGCACCGCCTTTCCCCCAACCGGGAGGAGATGTTTGAGCCAAAACTTGAAGGATGAATGGACTTTGCTAGACAGATAAATGGGAAGGGCCCTCCAGGCACATGGAAAGATCTGATGTTGGGCTGAAAAACAGTTGCGTTCCCTGTGATGAGCCTGTTTAGGGCTCGGCCCCCGAACGTATTGCTGTGCTATGGGCAGTGGCAGTGCCTTTTGCCAAGTAGAAGGAAACCTTGTTCCCTACTCTTAGTGTATAAAAGCCAGCCCCGGGGCCTCTCTCTAAGGGGCTTCTGAGTCTTCTGACCTGTGTGTCTGGCTTAGGCCAGAGATAATGTGGTACGGTTTAGAAAATGTGAGCGTTGGCATCAAACAGGCCCCAGTCAGAATCCCAGCTTCCCCTCCAAACAGCCGTCTGACCTCCATTCAGTCACGTGGCCCTTCTGGGCCTTGGTTACTTAGCTGTAGAGGGAACTCAGGGTCCACCGTGGGGCCAGGCCAGGAGGGCCGTTTGGCCTGGGCCTGCAGTTCCCAGGAAGGCCAGGGTTTGGACATCTGAAAGTGTCTCAGGCTAGGGCTGGGCTTGCTCTCACGCCGGGGGTTTGTGCAGATTGTGAATGTGGCTTTGTTGAAGGAGGTGTTTAAGAGGTCCTTGTGGGTGAGCCCCCTGAGTCCCTGTCAGCTGAGGACAAGGGTCCAGTGTCCCCAGAGTGTGCATGGAGAGGCCGGCAGGGGTACCTGGTGGGACCAGCTCAGAGGACAGTGGCCTGAGCATCTCCGCCCCCGCCCCGCAGACTTCAACACCGACAATTTCATCTGCAAGGAGGACCTGGAGCTGACGCTGGCCCGGCTCACCAAGTCGGAGCTGGACGAGGATGAGGTGGTGCTCGTGTGCGACAAGGTCATCGAGGAGGCTGACCTGGACGGCGATGGCAAGCTGGGCTTCGCCGACTTTGAGGACATGATCGCCAAGGCCCCTGACTTCCTCAGGTGTCGCCCCCGGGGCCAGCTGGGCAGGGCCGACCTGAGCGGGGGCTGCGGCTGGGAGAGCCCGTGGGCACTGGGGCCATCACCACTCAAGAAAGCAGTGATGTCTGGCCAGCCTCTGCAGGCCAGGAGGCCATAGGTCACATTCCAGGCCCACTCCCCTCCAGTGTGTGACTGGGAAGTCCTCTGTCCTCAGCTGGGCTGGCTCTCACGTGAAGGATAAAGACCTGGGGCCCTTTGGTCATGTTGGGGGTTGGATTCTCTAGGTCCAGCCAGTCCTCCAAGCTTCCCTTCCCTCATGTAGATTTTTGGCGCCCTCTGCATCCTATCCAGGGCCCCTCACCTCCTCTTGTTGTTTCTCTTTTTCCAGCACTTTCCACATCCGGATCTGAGGACAGTGCCAAGGTAGCAGGGGCCGAGAAGCCGGCCACCCAGCTCTGCTGCCTACATGAGTGTGACCTCCAGGCTCCCCAGGAGAGGAGCTGTGGCCTCCGGGGTTTACACCCAAGAACATTTCCTTGGCCCTTTGAGCAAAAAATCCTTAACCAGGCAAGGGGGGATGTGAGGAGCAGGGAACTTCCCAGTCCCCCTGTGGTCCCTTCACAAGCCCTCCCTCTGTCCCCTACCACCTTCCCAACACCCCAGTCCTCTCCCCGTCAGACATGGCCCCACTGGGAGGGAAGGCAGGACACCTAACAGGGCCGGGCTGCTGACTTGCTCAAGTGCTGGGCAGGCGCCTGGCTGCCCAGGGCAAAGTGAAAAAAGAAAAAGAAGACAAGGGTTTAACGAGCTATGCAATCTTTCTCCAAAACCCACAGCTGGAGTACACCCCGGCCCCTCCTGTCCCTTCTCCCCTGAGCCTTCCCAATGTGAAGCTGTGTAAGCAGTCGGTCCAAGGGCTCTGTCCCTGTCTCTGTCCAGGTCCTGAGCATGGTTCATACTCCATATGAACCACTCCATCCACCTTCCCCAGCGACATGGAATCCTCACTGGTGTGTGCTGTCCACAGATTTGTGAATTCTGGTAGTAAAACACTTTCATGTCACCATGTTCTCTGTGTCTGCCAATGTTAGTAAAGGTCACTGGTCCCTTTTCTCCTTGAAATCCTGCCATTAGCACTTCACCTCTCTGGGTTAAGCACGGCCTTCCCACTTGACGCACCAACTTTTATTTCAGTGCTTGTGTCTTAGAAAGGAAGACACACTTGTACCCCAAGTCTTTGAGTGAGCCCCACGAAGAGCAGGTGTTTAGTGAAAATTGTTTCCATTTCCCAGATAACGATAGTCATTCCAGTGAACATTTATGGAGTATCAGCCGGGCATCAGGCACAGCTCGGTGCAGGTTGGCCTGGTAGACAGGGATAGCCAGCAAGCGGCCAGCAGTGCCCAGGCTGCCTTAGGAGGGGTGACTGTGCAACTCTAAGCAGGTTGCTGCTCCTGTCTGGGCCTCAACCACCCTCCCCGTCATCTGCAGCTAAAGGGGTCAAACTAGGGTCTGCCCAGCTTGCATTGTGAGGCTGGGATGAAGGCGGGGGCAGAGAGGCTGAGGTGATGGTCCCTGGGAGCCCAGCTGCCCCAGGGTCAGAACCATCACCTCTGAGGCTGGGGCTTTGCTGCCATTTCCCTGGTTTCTTGCCCTAACTCCCCTGGAGCAGGAGCAGGGATGTGGCTCTGGGCCCTCCCCTCCTTTCTGCTGATAGGGTCATGAGGAGGACTGATTCTGGTCTCAAGAGCAACCGCACGATGTCATTCAGCCACTTAGGAAAATGCCAGGCCTGCCCCATGCTCAGTAAGGGTGGGAGGCTGGCTTGATTCATCTGCCCAGGCCCCAGCTCATTTTGGAAATGGGGATGCTGACCCCTGCCTTTGGCCAGTCCCCACTCTTTTCAGGCCGTGATTTCCTCAGCCTGGGTGGGAGGCACTGGGGGAGCGGGACACCGCCCTGAGCTGCAGGCAACTCTGTCTCTGAGTCTGGTTCCAGAGCAGGCTGGTTGGATTTTAGGGTTCAGGGGGTGCCTTCAGGCAGGCTGAGGGCTGCCCAATAAGTAACCTCTGGTGGCAGGTTCCCGGAAACCCGCTGGTGGGCCGCCGGAAGCCAGGACTCCTCAAGGTTTGTGCTTCTTATCCGTGAAGAAGAGCCTCCGGAGCCTGTCAGGCTGCAAAGAGGAAGAAGATGCTGGAGCCTGGGTCCCTGGATAGGGAGGGGAGAGCCAGGCTCAGATGGTCCCTCGGCAGTGACTGCGGGCTGGGGCCCAAGGCTGGGAAGAGACCAGGTTGGAATAATGACGGCTGCTCCACCGCCCCTCACAGTTCAGGGAATTCCACTCTAGCCTCTGGTTTGGGACAAGGCACTTGCCCTCTCTGGCTCAGGAGGCTAAAGGGGAAGTGGAGGCGAAAGGCCAAGCCCCCACTTCCCTCACTGGGTCCCCTGGATCTCCAGACCCCCAGCACTCTCTGTCCCAGCCATGCCTAGGTAGAATGGGGATGGGGTCGTACATGGTGCCACCAGCGACCAGAAGGACTTTGCAGCCAGAGGAAGAGCAGATGTGGGATGTGGCTTCTGTGGTTCTTAGAAGGGCTGTCCGCAGGCAGCATCTGTGGTCCGGGGAGTCAGGACCTAGAGGCTGCCTTGCACCAGTCGAGCTCCCTGTCCCCGGTGTGTGGTCACAGCTCTGCAGAGCTTTCGGTGAAGGCCTTTCTGCTGGGAGCTTGGGGTTTCACTGTTCAGGCTTGGGGAGGAGGTTCACGTGGGCCCCAATCTGAGGGTGTCCCTTCGGGGAGTTGGCTCTCCCGGCTCATCAGTTCCAGGTATGGGCAAGTGTGCTGGGGCCGAGGGCTCAGGAGGGCTCCCCTGCCTCCCTGAGAACCCCTGACTGCCTCCCTCCACCCCCCTGCTCCCTGCTCCCCCTTTTCTCCATTCTTATCAGAAATCTTCAGGAAGAACAGCTGTTCACTGACAGCCATCTCTGGGCTGTGTCCTGAGCACGTAAGGATGCCTGTGTAATCTTTTGGGCTGCTGCCCCTGGACACAGCCATGGGACCAGCCCACTTTACAGATGCGGAAATGGAGATCCTGGGTAAGGTGCTAAATGAGAATACAGGATGCCCAGTTAAATTTGAACTTCAGATAAATAAGAAATAATTATAGTATTGGGGACATAGTTACACTAAAAAATATTACTCATTGTTTATCAGAAATTCAAATTAGCTGGGTATCCGCTGTTTTATTTTGCTAAATCTGGCAATCTTAGTTGCTGGGGAAACTATATTGCCACATGGCTAGGGAGTGGCTGAGCCATGACAAGGGCCAAGGCAAGTCAGACCTGGTGCCAGGGCCCTTGTCCATCTCTCTGAGGCTCTGAGACCCCTGCAGTGGTCAAGAGGGAGGGACAGGAGTCCCAGTCTGCCACAGAGAAAGACCTTAGGAGAGCCTGGAAGCCCCCTTCTTATATCCAACTTAACATCTGCCTCTTCCACCATCTCGAAGCAGAAGTTAGGGCTGGAAAGTTCTGGGCAGTGGTGGTGACCTGCTTTGCCCATGCCTGAGAGCCACAGGTCCCTCTTATCACCAGGTGCCCCCTAAGGGCTGGCCACCATCCCACCCCACCCATAGAGCCTACCTTATGTGTCCGTCCAGGCTCCTTGCTCTTGGCTGCTGGGGTCTGTTCATAGGTGTTCCTGGGCTCTGGGAGCTCCGGGGTCCCTGAGATGCTCTCATAGCCACAGTCTGTGGACCCTGAAAGCCTGCTATATGTAGGACTGGCCCCAGGATAGGGGGGCCTGGCTGGGATCTGCTCGTAGGTACTGCCGCCTTCTTGGTCTGGCACATCCTTGGCTTCCTTTGGGAGGCCTGCTGTCTGGATGAGCTCATAGGTATCTGCACAGCTGCCCAGGGAACAGGGCTGAGCCCTGTGGCTCAGCTTTGGAGACCCCTGGCTCCAGGTAGAGGCTGAGGATCCCAAGGCCTCAGAACTGAGGGGCAGGAGGAGGCCCCAAGAAGTAGGAGACACTCTCGGGCCCTGGTCTGGGCCCACCCCAGAGAGGGCAGGTCCTGGGCCATCAGGCTTGCTCTGGCTTCCGTCTGAGAGTCTCCTTGGGCCCTCCTTGCCTGAGGAGCAGGCCTGGCTGCCGGCTGGAACTGTGACCAGGCCTAGCCGTGCCTGGTTTATCTTTCTCAGGTCTGCATAGATGATGTCGTTGGGGCCTCCGAAAGACTCGTCCAGAAGGGAGGCACTCCTCTCCGGGAGGGGAGGCACCCTGATGGGGGCCTGGGGAGAGAGGGACAGACGTCTTAAAGGCTACGCTGTGGCTAAGCTGCCCTCGGGTAAACTGAAGCTCCCTCACAGAAGCTGAGGCTCTGTGTCTTGGGCTCAGTTTACTTGACTCTTCTGTGCAGGGGTTGGTTGATGTTCAGTGTCCCCGCCAGCTTCATACTCTAGAACCACTGTCTTTATGTCGGCATTCAAGGCCATGAGTCACGAGCTCTACCTCCCACCCAGGATCATCCTGCCCTGCCCCTCTCCCCTCCAGAGTGGTCCGCTGGTCCCTCTGAGCCCCCTGAACCCACTCATTCACTGCTCCCTCCCTCTTCAGAATGGCCCGCCTCCCAAGTCCATCAACTGAGTGTTTATTCAACAAGTATTTAGTAAGGACTGTGTAGACACTGTTCTAGGCGCCAGGGGCTTGATGACAAGACCAGCTTTTGGAAGTTTGGATTCTAACCTGGCAACACACTGCTCTGTTACATAACTTAATACAGTTGATGTAATATATCACAAGATAATATACTGTCAGCTCATGATCAGTACTGTGAAGGAGAACAAAGCAGGGTACTGGGACAGGGAGAATGGTAGGTGGCAGAGGAAATATTTTCTATAGTTCAGGTGGGCCTTTCTGAGGAGATGACTTCTGAGCAGAGAATGGAATGCAGTGAGAGTATATGCATGCAGATATCTGGTGGGAAGAGCATTCCAGGCAGCAGGTACAGCAAGTGCAAAGGCCCTGGGGTGGGAAGAAGGTTGGTATGTTCAGTGAAGATCCAAAGACCAATGAGGCTAGACAAAAGTGAAGAAGAGGGAGAGGTGGCAGGACACCTGGTGAGGCTCTTGGGGACCCTGGTGAAGATTTCAGATTCTATGCTAAGCGTGAGGAGACACCCTCAACATTTTGTGACCTGATGTATATTAAGAAAAATCTCTCTGAGTCTCTCCTGTGAGTCGCTGTGGAGGAGGATAAAGTACTGACTCACAGGCACCCCACTCTGCATGTTACAAAGGGAGTTTTCAGACATTTCACATTCATTCCCTCATTCAAGCCCCAGGAGCCTCAGGATTGATCAACAAAGGCTCAGAGAGGTTATGTGACTTGTCCAAAGTCACTCAGTTAGAAAGGCCAAGCCAAGGTTTGAATCGGATCCAGTTGGCCAGAGGCAGGCCACAGCATGGGTGAAGCCCTGGGTGATTGCATTATGGGCTGGCTCCTCCCTGGGCCTGGAGCTCACCCTCTGCAACTGGAGGGGCCAGTCAGTGTGGCCTCTCCGGGCCTGACGGTGGGTGTGGCACCCACATTCCTGGTGTAGCAACCCTGACCCTCAGCAGCCCGGAATCCTCCTCACCTCCATGCTTTCTTCCTTGGAGAGGTCCTGGGGACGTGTATTCAGGCTCTTCTTTTTGTGGAGGAAGGAGACCTGAGGCTTTGGAGAGGGGCGGGGGCTGGCCTTGTCTGGCACCGCCGTGGGGGACACTGCAGCAGGTGGGTTTTCCAGGCCCGGATCGGTCTGATGGAGTCCCAGGGTGATGGCGTCATACAGATCAGTGTCCTCTGGCTGGGAGGGTGGGGACACAGCAAGTGTGTGGTCATACACCCCTGGCCGGCCTCCAGTTGCCTACCAGGGACTGCTGGCAGGGACTGAAACATTCCCACCAGGTCCCTGACCTCAGGTAGAGTGCTGCCTCAGTCTCCTCTTTTCAGATAGGGACCTTGATGCCGCACCGTGTGCCCCTGGGTGTCAGGAAATAGGGAAGTCATGGAGAGGCATGTGGCCAAGTGGCGGACGCGCCAGGCCCGGGCACCCTGCCCGCCGCCCGCCCCCAGGGAAGAGGGAGGGGTGCCTACCCGTGGGCAGGCAGCAGCCAGGGTCTCCCCGAAGGGCTCAAACTGCACCTCCTGGTAATGGCGCACGAGCTCGGCCAGGGTGCCATGGGTCTGGGTGTCCCCTGAGATGAGGTAGCGCCGGTTTTGGAGCTGGTTGATGACAAAGTGCCGGCAGCGATCACTGCCCCTGCAACACAAGCACTTGTGGTCCTGGGGCTGCTGACAGCGGCAGCCCTGCCCTGGCCCAGGGCTGGAGCTGGCCGGGCCACGCTGCCCGCTTGGGCCTTGAAGTGTCCCTCTGTAAAGTGGGACCTGACATCCCACAAGCCCAGCCTTGAAGGTGATGGGGAGCTAGGGAGTGGTTTTCAAACCTGCTGGGGGAGGTAGGGGGCCCCCAGCATCAATCAAGAAGGGCAAGGCCAGGGCTGGGGTAGGGGGAGCTCCGAGCTCGGATCCAAAATTTAAGGGGATGCAACAAAACTCAGTAATCAAGATAACTAATAATGCTGTATTTTAGAAAATCAAAATTAATACTGAGATACCGACGATGAGCAAAATATCTAAGTCTTAAAGATGAGATTCGACCCCACAGTTGCGCGACTCAGCCTCACTCGCCTCACTCACCTCACTCGCCTCACCTGAATCCTGGCCAGGCTGAAAAGATGGAATTCCAGCTCCAACCTCCCCTCCAGCCTGTAATGTCCCACCCTCTTCATTTTCCTTTTTTATAGAAGAATAACGCAAACACAGTGAATTGCACATGTCCTAAGCGTGCAACTCAATGAATTTCCACATGTGAACACTACCATGTAACCACCACCTAGAGCAAAACAGAAAACATTGCCGGCTCCCCAGAGGAGTCCCTCATGGCCCCTTCCAGTCTGTGCCTCACAAACGTAGCCACCACTCCGACCCCTATTGCCGCAGCTCAGTTTTGCCTGTTACGGAATTTCACGTAAGAGGATTCATACAGCGCTCCTGTTTTGTGCCTGGCTTGTTCACTCCACTTTATGTCTTTGAGATTGATTCATGTCCATGCAGAATTAGTTTCTTTTCCCTCCCATTGACAGGTAGTATTCCATTTAAAAAAAAAAAAGTCCACAATATATCCATTCTGTTGATGGTCATTTAGATTATTTTCAGGTCTGGGTTGTTATAAATAAAGCTGCTGTGAACATTCTTGTGCGTGGCTTTTGCTGAACGTATGTAGTCATTGCTGTTGAGAATATCCCAAGGAGGAGAATCAGAGGGTCAAGAGCACCCCTATGTTTAGCTTTAGTAGATTATACCAAATAGTTTTCTAAAATCGTTGCCGAGTAGGAGACTTCCCGTTGTTCCACGTCCTCACCAACTATTCGGTAGCCACTCGCTAAAGTAGTTTTAGTTTCTATTTCCCTGATTACTAAAGCTACTGAACCCCAACATGCTCATGGTCCTTTTGGACCCTCTTTTATGAAGGGCCTTTATTCTGCCTGTGTCGTCTTTGTCTTAATGATTTGTAGGAGTTCTTTATATATTCTGGAGATGAGTCCTTTATTAGATACATGTATTACAGTACAAAACTTATCCAACACTGTGGTTTATCCATTTAATGGTATCTTTTGATTAACAATTTTTTCAAAAATTCTTAATTTTAAAGAAATTCAATTTATTAGTCTTCTCTTTTGTGGTTAGTACTTTTGTGTTTCATTTAAGAAATCTTTGCCTATTTCAAAGTCATGAAAAATATTTCCTGTATTTTCTTCGACAAATGTATTGTTTTGCTTTTCTCACTTGGGTCCACAATCCACCTAGAATTAGTTAATTTTTGTGTATAATGTAAGGTGGGGGCTGTTTTTTTCCATTTGAATATCGAATTGCTCCCATACCAGTTATTGAAAAGATCAGTCTTTCTCTCTACTGAATTGCAGTGGCATCTCTGTTGCGAATCTGGTAACAAAATGTGGGGGGCTGTTTCTGGATTCCGTTGGTCTATTTGTGTATCTTTGAGCAGCCCCACTTTGATCTCTTTAATATGCTGGCATTCCACCTAAGATCATGTTTGGGAAAAAAATCTGATGCTGAAAAGACATGAAAACTGCTGAGTTTGTATATTTCAAAGTGCCTAGGACAGTACCTGGCCCATAGACTAACAATACATTTTAACAACAATAACATTTGTTTAGTCCTTACTATGTTCTGGATACTGTGTCAAGTACTTTTAAAGGTAAAAACTCATCAAAGCCATTCAACAATCATATGAAATAGTCACTGCAGTGTTCCCATTTTACAGATGAGGAAACGGAGGCACAGAGAGGCAAAGTAACTTGCTCAAGGTCAGGATTTGAACTGGGGCAGCCTGAGCAGATGATCATTTTGAATCTGGCTCTGAGGCCTTTGAGATTTGCCCTGGAGCCCCAACTCCCTCGCTCCCTACCTAACGAGGGGTCAGGGAAACTTCTTCCTTTCTCTGCCTTTCCCCACCCAACCTACTCTGAGGACAGGGCTGACATCACCATCTCTGACTTCACCCTGGCCGTCTTGTCTCCACTTCTCTATGCCCACTGCCTTGCCCTGCCCAGACTTCATCATCTAGCCCAGACCTCACCCCATTGCCTCCACACTCCCAGCATCTGTCTTCCGGTTCCCCCTCCATAGGCTGTCTGAAGGATCCTTGCATAACCTAAGTCTGACCAGATGACCCTTCACTGTCTGCAGACATAGCCAGGCATCCAAGGCCATCCTGAGCTGCTCCCGGCTCTCCTCACCAGGCATTGGAACCGTGCAACCTGTGGCTGCCCCAGCACCTTAGTGTGCTACGCTTCTGTTCCTCTGCACCTGCAGTCCTAATGACTGGAAATGCCTTCCTAAACCCCAATCACACCTCCTTTTCTGTCCAGCAAGCTGCTGGTCTTCCTTCTATCCTGGGCTCAAAGTTCATCTCTGTGAAGCCTTCCCCAGCCTCCCATCAGGAGGAGGTTCTCCTCTGCCCCCACTCACCCCTTGAAGGTGGGGGCTTCGTCCTAGCTTACTGATGGTTCTGCCCGGAAAATGTCTGATGGACGTGGACAGATAAGTGAGGGAGTGAGCGAGTCACAGCCCAGAGAAAGCCCAGCAGTGTGGGCTGGTGGGGGTGCCACATGTATATGCAAGGCTGGTTTATGGGAGCTGGAGCCTGCCTGCCATTTGCAGAGGGCTTCCTCTCTTACCTGTAGGACAAGATGTAGCCGGTGGCCCTGTCGCTGAGCCGGATGAGGAAGGAACCAAGAGCTTTGTCCCTGAGCAGCTGCTCTGTCTGCCTGGGCAGAGGACATGCCATTAGCTGGGCCCAGGTCCCCTCAGCAGCAAGAGCAGCTTGACTTAGACCTGCCTCAGAGTCCTTGCCAACCATGCCCTTGGGTGCGAGATCCAGGACACAGACCTCCAGCCCTTCAGAGAGGACTCCCTCAGACCTTCGGCTGGGTCTGTGCTCTGTCTGGGCCCAGTTAAGCAAGCTCAAGACTCAGTCTGGGGCTGGGTTGGAGTCCTGAGGCCACAGACACCACCCCCACTACCGCCTCACCAGCAGGCACAATAGCCACTGCCCCTGGTTGCCCACTCTCCACATAAATGGCTCTGTAACAAGAATGAATCTATATATCTAGAGATTTTTAGGTTTATGGGTTCCTTGCCTCAGGACCACTGTGTACCGTTGTGCAGGATGTGCACTACACAAGAGTGTCTGCAGGGAGAAGTTGCTGTTACGCTTGGAGCCAGATCACAATAGCAACTCATATGTTCTCATCCCCTCCTTGCATATCCCTTTCAGCCCCAGGCAGCCATGAATATTTCTAAATGGTGCCAAGTATTTTGGAGGCATGGTGGAAAATTCCAGCTGTCTTCTGGTTTGGCAGTACATAGATCAGATATTTCCTCACCCATTTCTTCACCAGATACTTACTGGGTGCCTGCCTTATGCAGGATCAACTACAGATTTTGCAGGGCTTGGTACTAAATGAAAACATGGAGCCCCCTACACAGAAAGTAAGAATTTCAGCATAGTGACAGCAAAGAATTCAGCCAAGAATAGGGCCCTTCTGAGCAGAGGGCCCTGTGTTACAGCACAGGCTGTGGCACATGAAGCTAGCCTGGGTTCAAGGCCAGGTGCTGGGTCAGGAAGACTTAGTGACTGGCTGGGTTTGTCATTCCTTCATCAGTGCTTTGGCAGCTTGGAGATCCAGCCCAGTCAGAGAGCCAACCTCCATATCTTGGCTTTTACTCCTAGAGTAACTGTATGTCCAGGTTTGCCTGGGACAGTCCCCACTCAAAACAGTTCTCCCAGCCTATTTACTAACAGCGTTCTGGTTTGGATGACAAATGAAACAGTCCCTCTAGTAATTCATCAAGTTTTTCAGAGCTGGTCAGCACGCATCCTGCTCCTGCCTGCCCCTGACTATATTTCTGGCAACTCAGCAGCCCAGCCACCCCAGCCCCATCCTTAGAGCAGGGGCCGATGCCTTCGCCCACCCTGCCCACCAAAGCTGCCGCCAGAGAACTTGAACCTTCTCATCTGTTGCCCCGCCCACCACCTCCCGGGGTCACTGCCTAGCCCAGGGAGAGGGCAGGAACCAGTCTCGTCCTGGACTGTTTTCCCAGCCTCGGGGGGCTACAGGCCATGCTGGGCATGGGGACAGGGGCAGCCTTACTTGCGGGTGAGGAATCCGTGAAACCAGGAGGGCAGGGCTCCATTCTGCAGAATGAGGGGGGCCTGAGTCTCCATGAACCACTTCAGGGCCAGTTCCTGCAGTTCAGCCAGGGCCTGGCTGTCCCCAGCCCCCTCAGGCCCCCTACCCAGGCTGAGCTGCCTTAGGCTGCCCTCCATCCTGGTGAACTCTGAAGTGGAAGCAGCGCCCAGACCACCCGCACGCCTCTATATCTGTGAGCGCTCAGGCTCATTTGCCTGAGTTCATGCCCTCTCCAACTGCCCACAGCACACAGGAGCCCTATTGTCACCTCTGAGCTGGTGGCTGGTTCTCCTCTCTGATGCTCTGAGGCGGGGCACCGTGGCTGGCTGGAGACCTCGGGGGAGGGTCACATTAGCAGCCAGAGAGGGACAGGGGAGGGGATCCCTGACTTCCTGGCTGGTAGATGAGCTGCCCCACTGGGCTTGGCCCCCTCCCCCAACCTCCGGTCTTTGTCTCAGCTAAAGAGCAGGATCTGGCTAAAGTCCAGGCACTGCCACTGTTAGCCAAGTGAATTTAAATTCTATTTTTCCTTTCTCTGTGGAGGCCACTTGTATCTTGGTGAAGTTCTGTGCTGATTAGTTCCTCCTTCCACTCAAGATTTATTGGGTGTCAACTGTATGCCATGTACGTCCAAGCCCTGGGAATAAATCAGTGACCAAAACAGCATTTTGCTTCCTGACAAACACATTCTAGAGGAAGGGGACAGACAATAGACAAATACACGTATAGAATACAGCGTTGGGTGTAATAAGCACTCCAAGAAAAAGGGAGAGGAAGAAGAGTGCGTGGGTTGTGTTGTTTAGATAGGGGTCAGGTTGGAGGTCGGGTGGGGGAAGCCTTGCCCAGGGGGTGACACTGGAGAAGCAAAAGAGGACGCCAGGCAGGCCCCTGGGGGAAGGGATTCGCTGGTCAGCAGAGGGAAGAGCAAGTGTGAGGACCAGGAGGTAGCACTTTGCTGGAGATCCCGAAGAACAACCCGGAAGCTCAAGTGGCTGGAGGAGAGGGCCCTTCGGAGTAGATGGGTTCCCTAGAAAGGCTGCTATAAGGCCTGTGAGAGGAAGTGTTGGGCCAGTTAGGGCCCAGGATATTTGTTCATGCAAACATCCCTGAACCTCTACTGTGTTTCTGAGTTTCAAGCAGAAATCCAGGCTCAACTGACACTGAGGCAGTGGATGGTGCAGTCAGCCCCCAGGATCTGAGTTAGGATTCCTCTTCCATCCCACTGGCATGGGCCTCAGGGAGGTCACCAAGTGGGTGCAGATGGCTCAATTCCTTCATCTGCAAAATAGGAATAATAAGAAAACAGCTACTTTCTAGACCCTAGGGTCATTATGATGACTAAATGAGATAACATAATGGTTGAGAATGAGGAAACATATATAAGCTCAAAAACAGGCAGAACTGATTAATGGCAATAGAAGTTAGGATAATGGTTACCTTGGGGACATAGTGACCGGGGAAGGATGAGGAGCTCCTGCACGCTGATCACGTTCCATTTCTTGGCCTGGGTGGTGGGTTGGATGAGTGCATTCACTTTGTGAAAATTCACTGAGCTCTGCACTCATGATTTACGTACGCATTTTTCTATGTATATGTCCCACTTTAACCAAACAGCTCGCTTAAAAAAAAACGAGGAGGCTACAGCCGTATTTCCTTGGTACCAATTCCAGCTGACCAGCTATGACCTTGAGCAAATGACTTAACTTTTCTGGACTTCACTGACATCATCTTTGAAACAGGGCCAATAACATGACCTGCTGTTTGGAAGATTAAATGGGTTAAGTTTTTAGAATGGAGTTTGGAATAAAGTAAGCTATTAGGATTAGCCATGACTCTGATGGTGATGATGATGATAATGATGATGTGATGCCTCTGAAATACAGTGGGTCCTCCCTGGTGGTAACGATTTTTGTTATTATTATTATAATTTCATCATGGTCATCTCAAATCAAGATAAAAATACCAATGGTAGGTGTGTGAGGCATGTGATTCAGAGGAAAGGCAAGGGCATGGGGCAAACCTGCACCCTCAACCTGGACAGCTCACTCCCTGTCTCTGAGACTCATCTTCCACATCTGGAAAAAGGGTGCAGGGCATTCACTCGCCTCATCTGGCTACAGAGTGAACTACTGAAGGTCATGCTTTTCACACAGGGACAGCCCATGGGCACACTGGAAGTGTTCCCCGGAGGGTCAGCTACTGGGAACACCACTTTTACAAACAATTAACTTCCAGCCAAGACAGGGAGGAGTCAACTCTAGCCAGGGGACATTGGGAGGGATTCACATACTTGTGAAATGGTCTTCTTGCCACAGATACAAGCCAGGGATATACTTGGGTCAGAATGGAAATCCCAGGCCTAAACTGACAAGGACTAGAATTTCCTAAATTGGGGTGGGGGAGGAGTGGGGTTGTATTACATCTTCATCTTCCACAATCTCGAAGTGAAACCCAGCAGTTCTTCCACAGTGAGTGCAGGGAACAAACCTTATTAGTATTCGTCACACCTGTGACTTTGTCACCAGTAGAAATTGCAGATATTTTCATGCTGCAGACATCTTGAGATACTGGTTTTGCTCATCACTTCCTCAGAATTATAATTAGACCCAATGCTGGATCTTGTTATTTAACATGCTAATGAAGAATCACATAGTATTACTGCATCACAGGTACTTGGATAACCCTATTCCAGTATCACTGATTTCCACTGTAATTCTATGTATTTTATTTTGTGTGTTTAAAAACACTATTCTGAGAAGTCCGTGAGTTTCCAGATACCAAGGAGGTCCATGGCCCAAAAAGAGGCCAGAGAAGCCAGGGTCTAACCCAGAGTTGGTTTGCTGCCAGTGTGAAGTCCTGGAAGTATTCAAACACAAAGAAATGTATTTCATAATTTTCCATGAAGCGTTCTCTCTCCACCTCCCTTTTAGGTGGGGTACTTTTATGAGCAGAACCTGGCCATTTGCATAAGAAGACAAAGGCTTTGTGTACTTGTAGGGGGAGCCCAGGATGGCTGCGTGCCAGGTGTGAAGATTCCGAAGTCAGGCAAATAAAGGGGAGTCTATATTTATCCTCAAAGGAAATGGTGGGGTGGGGGAAGGGTGAGGTCTGGTATGGGGGGCATCAGGTGTGTTCTGTGAAAGACCTGGGGTGAGCGGTCTCTGACAGTGCTCTACATCCCACTGTCCAGCTCAGAACTTGTGATCACCTCCTGGGGGCTGGGCCCTGGGATAGAGAGGATCCTGGAGCTGCCCTGCCCTCCTTCTCCACTCCAGAGGTGCTCAGAGGTGTAGAGAGAGGAGCTAAGGGGATTCGGGCTCTGCAGTCAGATTAAGTGGCTTGGAATCCTGGTTCCCCCATTTGCTGATTTTGTGATTTTGAGGGTACTTAACCTCATTGTGTCTCAGTTTCTTCATCTGTGAAAATGCAAGGGAGAAAAAGTACTCACCTGGTAGGGTTTGGGATTCAGTGAGCTGATCCAACGCAGCGAAGTGCCTGGGAGGCAAGGTGCACTAATGTCAGCCTCAGCTCCAAGTCATCGCCGGTCTGGGAAGTCCCCAGAATTCTGTCTCTGTCTGTCTCATCAAAACTTCCCTGTCCTGGGTTCTCGTTCAAGGTCATGCTTCTCCTGTAAGACCAAAAGATGGTAGTGGATTAGCCAATAAATCACTCTCTCCTGAGGGTGCTCAGTTTGGCATGACTTCTCAGGATGAAAGCTCTCAGGTTTCTCCAGAAAGATGCTCAGGGGCAGTGTCCTTTCAGTCACTTTGACTGAGGACCACTGAGGATGGCCAGAACCCCAGCACTAACCCTCCCACTCCTTTCTGGAGCCTGTGCATTGGGAACCTAGTACGGCCAAGTGCTGCTGGCAGCCAGCCTCCAGGGTAGAATGCCAAAGCGAACTTTTCAGTAAATTCTAGTCATGTGTTCGTTTTAGTTTATGAACACCGCATTTCTGTGCCCCTCAGTTATTCCATTAGAATTTGTTCCACAATAGTAGCGGGTGGAGAATGAATGATCCTATTTCTTTTTTCTCAAATTGTCTGCCTTATTCCCCACTGTATCCTGTGCCTAGAACAGTGCTTGGCACAGTTATATGCTCAATAGGTATATTTAAAATTATCATCCAAATTCATGATACATCCACATGGTTCTTAAAAATAAAAAGTTTTAACAGGTATCTGTAAAAATTCTCTCCCTCCAGGCACTAAACTTCATTTTACCCGGTTCCCATCTCACTCCCACAGGGAACCACTGTTACTCATTTCTTGAATGTCCATCCTGGGTTTCTTTACGCCTGTTCAAGCACATGTGTATATTCTTATTTTCTTCCCTTTTTAATGTAAGTGTAGAATCCTATATAGTGTCTTGCACATTGCCTTGTAAAACTATTTAATAACATACCTTAGAGTTCCTTGTTAGAGTGCATGTTTAGATTGCATGAGTTCCTGTGTTCAATCCCCAGTACCTCTAAAAATGAATAAATAAACCAAATTACCTCCCCCACCCCCCCAAAATAAAATAAAACTTTTAAAAAGAGTTCCTTTTGTAGGAGTACATAGAGAGATGCCATTCTGTTTGTTATAGCATGGCTGCACCATAATTTTTGTAACCAGTCCCTTGTTGATGATCCTTTGGGTTGTTTCCAGTGTTTTTATGCTTCCAACAATGCAACAATGGATAACCTTATATAGATTTGATTAAGCGTAAGAGTGAGGGCATCCATGGAACACATTCCCAGAAGTGGGGTTGCTCAATCAAAAGGGTATTTGCATTTGTCATTTTGATAGATGTTGCCAAATGGCCTTCTTTAGAGGTTGTGCTCATTTATGCTCAGTAAATATTGAATGAACGAATAGACAAATGGATAACATATTCAAGCTCGGTCATTTGGAGGCCCCCAGCTGGCAAGAAAAACTGCGAGGGGGCTGATGCTGGTTCAGAGAGGTCACCAATTTTACTGGGACTTTTTTGGCCCCTGATGTCACTGAGTGAGCTCGTCCTTTCATCTGCAGAGCACGGCTGTTGGGGCAGGAAGGTCGTACCCAAGATGCTCCTTACAGTCATCCTCCCACCAGACAGGCAGTTCTGTTTATTCATAGGACAGTGGCCAGGTACTGAGACCTTACAAGGGCTG